TGGAACTCCTCTAGAATTTAGGATTCTGCATATGAAAAATTACGTTGTTACAAGTATCTATCGATGTCATACCAAAGGTAGATCATTTTTATTTTTAAAATGATTGAATCATGCTGTAAATATACAGACATCAATTTATACTTATAATAAAGTTATTATTACGTGGTTTCTTTTATTCATAATTTAAAAAATTTATAAAGAGAAAAATAATTAGATCTATAAGGAATTTAAAAATGAACTTTGAAGAGGATGTAACAAAGTCTATCAGCTGAACTTTAGAATGATAATAACGAATAATTTGTTTTCAAGCTGTAGACATTTATAAATATGCTATTTAACTGGAAAATATCAAATAATAAATTTTTTAACAATACATTACATGTATGCTAAGTATTTTAATTTGATAGTAACACAATGTATTTAAAACCTTAAAGCTAATAATATAGATTTAGAATTGTTAGACGATCCAATCACTAAAGTAAAATCACGAATCCCTTAATCTTCTTTTTGGGAAGTCAAATTTTAAAATGCAGTTTTATATTTTTCTTTAAAATGTTAAGATAGGCCTGCTTTTGGCAAAAAAAAAATATTAAAGAGAAGCTAGGGTTTTTGATTGTATTAGATGCTAAGCTGCATCGATGATAAATGTTGTCTCCTGGTTCCGGCGCACTTTTGATCCTAATTTCACTTTTACCTAAGGAATTACTAGTATTTATGGAAAAGTGAGACTGAGATCAAGAGTGAGCTCATCTATAGCCTATAAGTTTTAATGCCCTCTGGGTCTGCATACAACAATTTCAAAAATATATTACACATTATTTTTTTTTATACATTAGTATATGTATGGCAAAGATTCTGTTAACATTTCTATATTTGTATAACTGAGTACTGCCAAACTCTCTTAATCTATCACTAAACCCTAACTCCACCACTTTCAGGGAACTCCGTGCAGTTTGTAATGAAAGCGATTGTAACGTAATTTATGCATGCTGAAAATCTACAATAACATTCAAAGCTATTATAACAACTAAATGAAGTTCAAAAAAAGCGTCAAAACAAATTTACACTAATTGAATTATAGGTATCATATTTTATGTGAAATCAGTAAGCATCTTTCCCCTATATATGTGCTATTCCATCGAAACTGCGTTAACATAGTCATTTTTACCTGTCAGTCATTTTTATGAAGGTCTATTACAAAGGTTCAACATGACTACCATGTTGTATACGGCTAAATTATTTTAATTTGTTATATACAATTGCAGGAATTGCGTTATGAAACGCGTTATGATAACGTAAGCGCGACATTTTTACGTATAAAATACCTTATGAATAAATATATTTGTGTATATTGCTGATGCCTTTCTAAACATGCAATTGAATACTATTTGAAATCTTTAAAACAATTTTTCATGTTTAAAATTTAAGAAAAAGGTATAAAAAGTTTAACTAGGGTGTGTGTGTGTGGGGGGGGGGGGGGTGTTCCTAAATACGTTGGCATATTGTAGAGGACCCTGGTGAGAGAGTTAGGATACATTGGACAAAATGACGCTGGCAGGATACACGTACGTTCTATTTAGTGGTTTTAAAAAGCCCGGTGTCTGCACTTTTTTGTTAATATCATTAAATATAATGTTCATCTTAATTACTGTGTAACAAGAAACAAATCAAATTATAATTTGAACAGAAATGCGAGGTGTTTTCCGCCTATGGTACGGGTACTTAAGGATAACTAGTTTAGTTTTTATAGATCAAATAAGTTACTAAATGCATTGCCGTGTTGCTCAAATTTTTCTTTCCAGTGATTTTCATTGGGGTTTCTCCTTTTTGTATGTGCCAGTTACTTGGGGTTCAATTACATTTTACTGGAAGACGTCACCTCGATTCAGTACTTTCAGTACTTTGATTTTTTAAAAACACCTTCAAGCAATGTAGACTGTTGCTATCATAGGCGCTCCCCATGTAATTCTGTAAATGACGAATGATAAGTATATACATGTATATATATATAGGTATACCCCTCTATACTATAAAATAACCAAGGCTTGCAACTAGCCGCCATTATGGATTTCGCCTGGGACCTCTTACTTTAAGGGTTTCTGGGTTATACTGGGCTGTTCATCAGCATCGGGTACTCTAATTTATTGAAATAAAATATTTGCTTTTATCCAGTACCATTCCGCCGCGTTCTTGCGTTTTCAAACTTTTCTCTATTACTCCGTCACACATAGCTGAAGTCGATTTTGTCGATTTTCAACAACTCGTTCGAAAATAAGTTTCGAAAGTTTTTAACAAATATTTTTCGAAGAATCAAATTCAATTTTTACATGAAAGTATAATATATGGAAATAACAAAAAGCACAGCTTCAATGCAATTTAACCTACTTTAAGTTACCCCCCCCCAGGCTTACCTTTTAGAGGTACATTCCGGTGTCTCGGCCGCAATTGGCTGAGGCGATTCAAAGACACGTTTATATATACACACATGATCACGTGAACTTTAAACACTACACCACGTACGGAATTAAACATGGACTTTGACTAGATAAATTAATTTGAATTGCTTATCAAACACTGAAAATTTCGACACTGTGAAACTCATTACAATGTTTAGTATATTTTTTTATCCCCCTAATGGTGAAACAGTAGGGACCTAAAGATTTCTTTGACTGACTATCTGTATGAACTAATTTACTTATATGCAAATTCTGCACTGTTGAGTAAATGTACACCTGGCTAGGACTAGGTGCAAATTAACTTTTGCATACATTTTGTAGCAAATTATTAGTTCATATGTGTAAATTTTGTCGTATGAACACGCAGCAAATTTACATATGTATGTATTTTGTTTTGTATATTGCATCAATATCCATTTTAAGTGTTGTTTCAGTTGTGTATGCAATGGCGTGTAAAATATCAGTTGGTAAATATGGTGGTTAGAAAGCAAAATTCTTATACAAGAAGCCATTATCTCCTCCGAGATAAATTTTCGAGTTTGCAAAAACTAGGGTATCTCTCTAGCAAACTTATGTTTATGTCTATGAAGTATAAAGATATAGATGTGGTCGCAAATACGTGCCCTGTAGGTTCAGTAAGATGGATATGGAGATAACGAACAACATTCTATATCAAAAGTCCATAAAACAATATAAAATAGGAGCAGAGCAAACACGGACCTCCGAAACATCAGAGATGGGATCAGGTGCCATGAAAGAGTGAGCATCCTCTGCTGACTGGTCACACCAGCCTTGTGCTCATTGTCATGATCGGAAAATAACGGAAATATCCATCGTCAATTCAGTGTATAAATAATGGACAAGCAATAAGTATGAAAAACGTCAGTCAGCATTTGTCTCAATGATAAATTGTATTTGCTGACAAGGTTTTATCTCAAGTTCACCAGGATATATCGTATCGACGTAGGAATGGAAATTATCATTATTAATTGACAATACGTCGTCGATATATCTAAATGTCGAGTTGAAGGCCACAGCAAGTGTTTTCTTCTTTTCACGCATAAGATTTTGTATAAATCGTTGTGTATAAAGTTGAAAAGTCGTAAGTTTTTAAGAAGAGAAGATTAGGACTACTGCACATTTATTCCCTAGAATTTTTTGCCGCAGTAATTTGGACCCACGATGCATCGTTTCGTACACAAACGCTAAAACAACGTTCTCGCGAGAATAACAAGAAAAGTTAAACTAATGATAAACTTGCCTTGATTTAATGGAATTTAACTGTTTCTTGCCTTGTTCAGGCTTCGGTTTGGTGAAGCAACATGCAAACGTCATATAACGTCAGAGTCTTATACGCACTGAATTCACGTTCAGTTTTACGGGTCCGATCTAAATGAAAACTGGAGTACGTCGGTCTAAGTATCTGCGCTCGGCCTAACGGTCGCAACATATTACGATTTATACAGAACTGTCGAATTTTAACTTGTCATACATCAATTTTCAAAAAAAGCCATAAGCATTTTGCCTACTTTAGTAGTGTTTTCTCAAGTGTATTTTAACCAGAAATTGTCAAAAAAATGTTAGTTTTTAGATTTCGTTCTGCTTCTAATTATGTAACTGGCGCTTCATTTATTTTATTTGGTTTAAAAACCTACAGGCAAAATGTATATTTAACAAATAATATTCCGATAAAAAAAAACCTTGCTTAACGAAATTGGACTCTCTCAATAATTATTGAAAAAATGCACTAAACAAAGATATTACTTTGGTATAAATAATCTATCTAAAATCTGTATATAATATTCTCTTATATAATAAAATAAATTTTATACTGTAAACATTACTTGATATGCCTTTCACAGCACATCAAATACGTCATTTTTATGAAAATGACGTTATGTCGACAAGTTTACTATTGTCAATGATTTGTTTTTAACTGTTGTGTGGGATTAATATAGCAACTATTTTTTAAAGCATTGATAAGATTTGGTGTTGTTTATTATGTTAAAACAGTTTAAAATAGGAAAGTATTTTATTCTCTGATATTATGATGAATTACTATTTTTGTATGATGTCACCGTAAACGTTTCCCGTATAAATTAGGTCTCGCCCCCTTTACGCAGCTATAACAATGAATTCCTTGAAAAACGTATAATATAAAACTTAAGCTGTGAATGTACATAGTGATATAGCTTAGTTAGTTCTAAACTGTTTCGTTAAATTTTGCAAATTCATGGCCACTTATTAATTGTTATATGACATACTTTGATCTCAGTCATGAGAAGGAACACAAGGATGGCGGGTACCGCCGACAGGAGATGCTTAATCCCCCATGGCACCTGATCACACCGCTGATGTTTTAGAGGTCTGTGGTTGCTTGTTTCAAAATGGGCCTTTGAGCCTTGTTGCTGTTTGTTATCTTCATTTATAAATGTAAAAACATTCAAATGATAAAACATAACTTGATCTTGGATTGAAAAGATGAACATAAATGTAAAAAGAGAAAGAGTTGATTTTCTATAAAATTATTGAGTGGGTCTTGTCGGCGGCAAGGCAGCTATGTGTCTTTGACATAAACTTGGTATAACTTTATTTAATTTTAACCCAATTATTTAAAAAAAGAAGAGTAAATGTTTTGCAACTTACTTTCAAATAAGTGTTTGATGTCCTGCTCTGATGTAGTGGATGGGTTTGGTAGATCTTCAATTTTTCTAATGATGTAATTAAGAGAATCACTTGCTCTGACATACGAGTGTATAATTAAACCGTCGTTGTAAATCTGAAGAAATATCACAATAAACATCCCTTACATGTATCAATACATGTATAATTAATAATATTTCAATTTTAGAATACGATTGTTGATGCAGTTATTAAAAAAAAACCTGTAAGTAACTTCTGATTGTGTGGAGCAAGCGACTTAAAGTATCATCTTTAGTGTTTCCCAAAACAGTTAATAAATCATCTTCCAGCCATTGGGTGTATTGTTCGTTTCCTTTTTTAATTGGAGGATGCACTGGAGTGTGTTCGCCAAATTTCTCTGTAATAGATGATTAAGTTACATTACTAAAAGCAGGGATAGGTTTTCAAGCTGCGAGGGTCAGTGTTACTGTTAGAGCTAGCGTCAGGCTGCAAGGGTTATGCCATTTATCGAAATCAAAATTGATAAAAGAATTCTTAATTATTCTACGTGTGTGCCAAGTTATATCAAAATCAGACCAAAAGTGTAGGATGTGTAGCGATTCTAAATCATTCCACATAAATTTCTATTTTCAGGTACAAATGTACCATGGCAACATTGTTCATCGTAATCAAAACTGATTATCATTTATGAATCCTTAGGTAGTCTACTTGTATGCAAAGTTATTTCAAAATCAGAACGAAACTGAAAGAAGGGTAGCTGTTTCAAAGTTTTTTCATATAATATTCTCTGTTTTAGGTACCACGCCAACGCCCTCCATCTTAATCAAAATTGATAAACAGAATGTAGTCTACGTGCGTGCCAAGATAATAAAATAAGAAAACCAAAACAAAAAAAACTGTAGGAAGAGTAACATATTGAAAAATAAAATGTTTACAGACAAACAGACGGAGTACGGGCACCTTTCTATTGCAAATACAAAAAAATGTTTTGTCAGTTATAACGGAATTAGGCAATCCATTTTATGTTGGTTTTCCACATCAATTAAATTGGTGCAAACTTATATTTATTGTCCCCCGCTTTCGCAAAAGCGAGAGGACATTAAATCTCATTTGTCTGTCTAGCTGTGGTTCCGTCCGTCTGACAAAAAAAACTGAAACCTTGGTCATATCTTTTGAATGTGTATTACCGGTGATTACAAGACCTTTCGAAATACACATTGATTTTTTACATCGAGCTCGTGACCTTGACATTGAAGTTTGACCTACTTTGCGGATCTTTAACCTTGGTCATAACATTTGGAGGAGAAGAGATAAGGCTTTCATATTAAACCGTGTACTAGTATTGCATGTGCAAAGACCTTTATAAATCAAAACACTATAATTTTTGATATTGTGACCTTGACCTTGAAGTTTAAACTACTTTTCTAAAATGTAATTTTTCTTATAACTTCTGATTGAGAGGAGATAGGGCTTTTATATTTAACGATGTATCTGACAGTGGAATAATGCAAGAAATTATCAAAAAGCAAACAAAAAGATTTAGTTTCATTGCTAGAAGATGCTACCCCTGTTCAAGTGATTTATCTTATTTAGATACCGACACTGACTAAGGAAAATTACCTAGAATTTTTCTCAAATATTCTTCTGTTTGAATCATCAAGGACTCAATTCTTGTTCTAAATACGTCTGTTATTCTAGTTGGAACGACAACAATAGCTAAAAAAAGGAATTTAAACATTTTGGATTAACAGATATACAGCTGAAGTGATTTCTTAAAAAATATTGGCTATAATGTGTGATTTTGTTAAAGCTTCTTTAAAACTTGAAGTGTATTTACAAAGATAAATAATTCATATACTAATTCATTGAACGTTAACAGCTTACACTGATCTGGTGTTTTTATTTTTTCGTTCAATTCTTCTATATTTTCTTGGACGGTTACAAGAACGTCGGCATCAAGATTAGCCATCATAGCTTTAACATGATCAACAACATTTTCGAGTGCTCTAGCATTTCCAACACCAATGGAAGCCGTAAAGCCAACAACCTAATTTAAAAAAAATCAAAATATGTTTTTTTTTTCCACTTTTGGATGAAAAATTATAATTACGTTACATATCAATTGTATTAAAGTTTACAAAAAAGATGTTCTACCTGCGGGAGGAGTTCTTGTTGATCCGAGACTTGCATGTCACTTAGCATTTTATCATGGTAAGGAATCATGACTTTGTAAAATGCGTGACCACCGTAACAATGGTGACATTCGTCAAAAATAATAAGAGTAAATAAATCAATGCTAAGATCTTCTTTATCCATAGCATTGACGAGCATCTGAGCTGTTATCACAAAAATATCGTATCTGGAAAATTAACCAACATGAGCAAGGGCAATAATCACCAATTCCTGGTTTCAAGTTCATTTTTATGAGCATGAAAAGATATAAATGCAAGTCATTACTGTTAAAGGGCTAAAAATAGGCAACTTATTCCCTTCCTAATTCACGCATGAAACAGATTTGCATCTTTTTTTAGAATAAAAGAGACAGTAATTGATCACTCACTTTAGAAGAAGACGAGATAGTTGTATACATTTTTCTTCACGCATTGTGTCCCCTGATATAACCTTTAATCTGCATGCGACATAATGTTTTATTGCATCTGCCTGTTGCTTTGCCAAAGTGCTCTTGTCAACAACAAAAGCAATCTTTTTTTCTGTATGCCTCAGGTTATTTTGAAGATGATGCTTAGTTAATGAGAAAAACATGCTTGAACATTTTGAAATTAAGAATCAACAAACATCAATGTATTGTACGAAGATTTGGTTTAGTACGATTCTCAGTTAACATTGTACTTTCTGTATTTCGTGACTTTCTAGACCCTACGTAATTAGCGTCACTCAAATGGCGAAGAGATTCTCACTGATTATGAAGTTAATAACATCAGGGACTTTAAATTGTTGTTGATAATGATGAGGCGACTTAAGCCCAATTTAACTTCTCAGCCGTAAAAAACGTTATCATTGGATCTTTGATACACTCGTTGACATTCGCTGGAATGTATATTTCAACAACCGGAAGTTCTTCCAATGGATTCTTTTTGTTTATAATTGTAAAATAAACATAAGTTCTGTTTGTCTTTATTCAAAAAAGGGTAAATTTTTCAAAAAATCTTGAAATTAAAAATCACTTCCGGTGTCGACCGGAGCTGACGGATGCAAAATCAAAAGACGTTATACATAACTCAAAGAGACGTTTTATCATCCCTGAAAATATCTTGATTCATTCTTGAGTGGTTTACAAGATGCGTGGACAAAATGACAATTCAAAAAAAGAAAATCGGACAAAAAATTCGACCTGAAGTGATTTTTCAAAAAATAAAAAAATAGGTCAGGAGATATTTCAACAATGCATCATAACTGAAAAAAATCTTTGAAATGGGTTCCGTAGTTTCCGAGAAATTATGTGTACTATGAAAAGGGAATAATAATAATAACTAGAAAGTCTGCTACTGCAAGCAATAGCATATGTCGCCGCGTACTGGACAAGACTTTCATTTTTATCATCACTAAAACAATACACATTAGCTAAGCATGGACAACCATCGAGTCGTATCAGTCCTTTCCGTTGGAAACGGAAGACGTTAATTACAAAATGCCGGGAAGGGTTCAGTCAAAACATGGCTAACGCAAAATAATTCCTGAATTTTCCCCTACAATTCGAGCATTTCTGCATTGCACAGGGCTGACGTTTGTTATGAGATGATAAATCATGTGTAAACTTTCTCAGTTTAGCGGAATCATGAACATTTTCGGCGAGATGAATGTTTTGTTTACAGTGGTGATGAAGGCTTCGCGCACCTGCAGGAGCGGATCCAAAGATTTATGAATGAATAAAAACTATGGAAATGACGTACCAATTTTCTAATTGATACATGCATTATCTAATGAAATTATTAATACAAGTAATGGATATACAAGAAAACGCGAAATGCTAATAAATGCAGCTGACAATCGTTATTTTTTATAGATAAAATAAAATAATTATAAAATCTAGAGACAAGACAGAAGAAGAATGAATGTTGACAAAATATCAAATCACATCAGGGGAACTGAATTTTATGAATGAAACTTTTAAAACGTTACTTGTAAGTTGTATATGTTATATCTGTGTATTCTGTTATGGGTCAGAATTACCCGAAATGCCAGCAAAGATCAATAACACAATTTAAACTTAACAATAATTTATTTACAGTAGTATATAATAAGTATATGAAACATAAAGTACAAACTTAGCAAGAATCTAAAAATACATACATCAGAGTGTCCGTTACTGCACACAATGTCCCAGTGAAAATATATCCCATTAATATCTCAATAGTACTTATACGACAAAGTATTCACAATTATTGTATATCTATGCATTGAATTGACAGGGTATTTATACAGTATTATAAATCTAGAATATTCTGGAAAATGTTAAAACATGATATTACTGGAACAATCTGGACATACACAAAATTTAAGAATGTTCTAGATAAAATGACCGAACATGTTGACCACTCTGGAATGTTCAAGAAACTTAATGTTACTAATAATATAAGATGAAACAATACAAATACAACACATCTCACAACACCTCCCCCTTAAAAAGTTTGAATGTCAATGAAAAACTTAAATTGTAAAACATGTACATTAATATAAAATCTAGTATGTTTACGATACTCTTGACAAGGCGTCTGCAATAACATTGTGTTTGCCTTTGATATGCTTAATTGTTATGTTGTATTCTTGTAACAACAAACTCCATCTAGTCAGTCTTTGATTCTTGTTTGACAATTTATGCAAAAATGTCAGGGGGTTGTGATCAGTATACACAGAATTGGATGCAAAGTAACATTCAGATAAACATCAAAATGCTGTAAGGCTAACAACAAAGCAAGGCATTCCTTTTCAATGGTGGAATACTTTTGTTGACATTTTGTAAGTTTCTTTGAAAAATAAGAAACAACTCTATCTACCTTATCACTATGTTCTTGAAACAAAGCTGCCCCGATTCCAACATCACTAGCGTCAACAGTAAGCTTAAATTGCTTAGAAAAATCTGGAGTTGACAGAACTGGGTTGCTCATAAGGACAGATTTGATTTTATGAAAGGATTTTTCACAGTCCTTTGTCCATTCAAATTTAACCCTCTTTTGTAAAAGATTTGTAAGTGGACTAACAACTGAGGAAAAATTTGGACAAAATTTTCTGTAAAACCCAGTCATGCCCAAAAACCTCATTAATTCTTTCTTGTTCGTAGGAATCGGGAACTTGCAATAGCTTCCACTTTAGCCATAATGGGTGTAACATAACCTTGACCTACTTTATGACCTAAATACTCTACATAGGCATGACAAAATTCGCTCTTATCAAGGTTCACAGTTAAGTTTGCTTTAGCTAAAATGTCAAATAAAGCACGCATGATTCGGAGATGTTCATCCCATGTGTTGCTGTATATGACGACATCATCAATTTAGGCCTCGCATCCCTCAAGATCATGGAGAAGGGAGTGAATCATCCTTTGGAATGTAGCCGGTGCGTTTTTCATGCCAAAAGGCATTACTTTATACTGGTAAAGTCCATCTGGTGTAGCAAAAGCAGATATTTCTTTTGCTCTTTCTGTTAACGGCACTTGCCAGTAGCCTTTCAACAGGTCAAATTTACTGACAAATTTGGCGTTTCCAATGTTGTCAATACAGTCATCGATTCTAGGTATTGGGTATGAATCAGTTTTGGTAACAGAATTCACCTTTCTAAAGTCTGTACATAATCGGTAAGAACCGTCCTGTTTTGGTACAAGAATACACGGTGAGCTCCAATCACTTTTACTAGGTTCAACAATGTCATTGTCCAACATGTACTGCACTTCCCTTCTTAGGTACTGCAATTTTATTGGATTCAGACGGTACGGATGTTGTTTGATAGGCAGAGCGTCGCCAACTATAACATCATGACAAGCTGCATTAGTTTTCTTTGGAACATGGAGAAGATTTGATGATACTCATTCATCAAGTTTTTAACTTGTTCTTTTTGGTGAATGTTCAAATGTCCAAGTTTGGCATGGAATCGACCAAAATTTCTGAGTTTTTCAAACGAACACTCTGATTACAATCTTTCTCATTCATTTCTACACTCGTATCACTTTCAATACAATTTTAAACAGTCTTAGCATTGGCTAAAGTGGAAACTGGTTTTACAGAATTTGGATAACACCTTTAAAATACTCTTTTAACATGTTAATGTGACAAACCCGTTTCTCTTTAGTCACCTGGTGTCTTAACTACAAGTTTCATACAATTTGCTTTCAATTTCAAAGGGCCATAAAATCTGGCCTGTAAAGGATGACCAGGAATAGGTAAAAATACAAAACCTTATCACCTGGCTTAAACCCCCTATTTCTAGCATCTTTGTCATACCACATTTTCATTTTCAACTGAGAACTCTTCAAATTTTCTTGTGCTAATTTACAAGCATTGTAAAGTTTTTCTTTGAAATCAGACACATAATCTAAAAGATTAAGATCACTAGTCTTGTCAGCCACTTTTCCTTCAAAATTTCAAAGGACCTCTAACTGTATGTCCGAACACCAATTCAAAAGGACTAACCCAAGAGAATCCTGGACTGCTTCTCGTGCAGCAAATAGCACAAGATGAACCCCTTGTCCCAGTCTTTTTCATACTGGTAACAATAGGTCTTCAGATTGTTTTTAAGGTTTGATGAAAACGTTCAGGCTCCCCAACTCAGGATGATAAGCAGTTGATCTATATTGCCTTATACCCCAAATCATGCATGACTTGCGGAACAACCCCGACATAAAATTTGAGCCTTGATCCATGAATTCCTTGGTGCCCCAAAACTGAAAAACTTGGTTAGGGCCTTAACTATGCTCTTTGCCTTTATATTCCTTAAAGGGATGGCTTCAGGAAATCGAGTGGATGTACACATAATGGTAAGTAAAAATTGGGTTTTCCCGATTGGTCCTAGGCAAAAGGGCCCACACAATCCACTAATACTCGACTAAACGGTTCTTCAAAAGCTAATGGGTTGGGGGGGGCAGATGGTATCTTCTATTTGGTTTACCTACCATCTGACAGATATGGCATGACTTGCAAAACTTCAAACACCTTTCTTAGCTTAGGCCAATAAAAAAGACTCAAAAAACCATTATAAGTCATTACACCCAAATGACCTGCCATAGGTGTATCGTGAGCTAAACTCATGACATCTCGATGATAAGCAGCTGGGACCACTATCTGGTGAAAAAAGCCACTTCATTTGGGGAAGCGTAGGTGGTCGCCATTTTCGCATAAGGATGCCATCTTTCATATAAAGCATTCTCCAACTTTAGTAGCCTCTTCTGGGGGAAGTGCCCTCTTACTAAGTTGGATGATATCTGGGATTTTTTCAGAGAGTAAACGTTCTGGCTGAGGATGTCCTTGCCTTGGCTAACTAGTGGATGCAACTCATCATCCTCACCACCAAATTTTGGTAACAGTTTTTTTTTTGCTTCTTGATATTGTGTGGTTCCTTGTTGGTTTGAGTGCCATCAAGGTCAGATAAGAAGGTGTCATTCAAATCAATATCAACAGAGGAATTCGTCGTCAAAGGCTTGAGTATGGTCTGCCTCCATTTCTCGTCTTCTGGCCATGCTCTAGTAACAGCACAGGCGGAAAGATCATCTTCATCATCGCACATGACATTGGAATGATTTTCTACAAACTTAAATCAGGACAACCTTCCCACCAGCTAAATCGTTGCCTAACAACAAAGAAATGCCTGGGAAAGGGAAGAGTAGGTCGAACACCACCCGATAACAGGTCCAGTAACTAAATCTGACTTCAAACTAATTTATGCAGGGGAACATCAATGAGAGCTCCACACCCAAAAAACTGACCCACCAGTAGAAGCTGCTCAGACAAAGGAAGCACGCCCTCTAACAATAACGTCTGTGCAGCACCAGTATCTCTCAAAAACTAAGGTTTTATTTCGCAAGTCACCAGTGAAACAAATCCC